TATTATGACAAAAGATATGAGAATTAGTTAAGCCTCGAAGAAAAACTAATTGAATACTCTTCTCTATTCTATGTGAATTTGAACTTTTTCTTGATATTCCATCCTGATAAAGAGAAGAAAGAAAGCATTTTTTAAAAAATAGCTGAGTACTAGGTGCTTGAGGCCATATTAATCTCCTCTAATAAAGATACTATATCTGGTATGGTCAATACAATTTTCCTACTAATTGGTTGAGTTTGAAATGACTTATATCATCCACAAGGCTTTACATTTTGCAGAGAGGAAGCCTCCCGAATTAAATGAAAATATAATTGGGATCACACCCTTACATTCTCTAGATCTTAAAAGATGACACTGAACAACATCACATGAAGGCCAGAAGAAATGTGATAACCTGAAAAAAAAGATGACACTGATCTCTGCCATCCTCTCTAGGATGTTTTCATGTGCTCTCTTGGCCACAGATGAGGAGTACAGTTTCAGAAGCATTCACTTGGCATTCTCCTCTATAAATAGCTCTGACTCCACAGGCAAACAAACTACACTGCTGTTTGCACCAACTACCAACTATATCTATCCGAAATATACATTCAGAGGTCAGGAAAATAACCACTGAGTGGGTCTGTGGACCCGATACACCCATTGTGAACCAGACCTAGACTAGGATCTAATTTAATATCTGGCCTTATATCACCCAATCAAATCTGGGAGCTATGATGACATCTTGAGTCTCTGGGTATCAATATCAGCTCATAATCAGTGTTCACCTTCCCTAAAAATGTTCAGGTATCCTCTCCTTGGTGTACAGTTTCCTGAGTCAATAGAAACACCAGAGAAATTTGTTACACATTTATTACTTGGTCCTTCTGCCTGGGTACTCAGCCTTTCCTTCAAATCATGTGTTCTACATTAAAAAAAAAAAAAACTAACTTAGGACCAGAAGCTGGGTGAGAGATTTTGATTGAGGCAACTTCCCTAGCTTCCCAAACATCTTTAACTTCTTTTGGTTGTACAAATTGTTACCTACTTACATTCCCCAGGACACTGTGATCCATGTCCTATTTATCTCTTAACCATCTACACAGCTAAAGCATCATAGTCTATTAACCATCTCTGGAGGTCTGTACAGGTTAGGCCTTCCCACCTGCCCCCTAAAGTGCATTATGCTATTTTTATCTACCTGCCTTCTGACAATTAAACGCAGTCATCTAGGGGCCAGGGATGTAGCTCAGTGGCACCATGCCTGCCTTACAAGCACAAGGTCCTCAGTTCAATTCCCAGTACCAAAAAAAATGCAGTCATCTGTTTCAGAGTCATTACCATTTCTATCATTAATCTTTTTTCCTTAATATTCTCTCTTACTCTGAGCCTTAGTCTGCAAAGGAGCACCAGTAGTGAACTTCTTAAGAGATATTAATGGTCCTCTCACCAGTACATTCCTTATAGTTTTGGTAGTGTGCCCTTTGGGTATTCCTGCAGAATATAGTGTGCTGGAGGATTTTTTTAGCCTTAAATAACATAATCATTCTCACTTCTCTGAATCTTTAATCCCTCCTTCCACCATCTGCTATGACAAGTCTGCCATTTATACCTCACTTAATGTAGGCTACTCTTTTCTCTATACTTTCAGGGATCACCTTAGTGAGTTCATATCAACTCCAAGAGGCTCCTGAGAAAGCATCTTCAAATTGATTCATTCTCCTGTACTCAATTTTTTTATATTCCAGCCCCCCAATCAAGGGCCTCAGAACTCAGAATGTAATCCAGTGGTGACTCCTTCAGCACCTTCTAGTACCTGCTAGCTAAATTAGGTTGTTCTCCTCTTTGTTGGTATAGTCCCTTTCCTTCCTTATTATATTCAGCACGTTCTCAGCTAGGTTTCACTGTGAATTACCCTTAGTTATAGGCTTAGTGTCCAGGATGGGAAGTGGGGGCAGATTTCAAGGGAAATCCATGTTCTCTTATAGGGGGAAGGGCTGTGAACCTTCAAGCAAAGTAAAGTGCTATTCCTTAAGAGGGAACTGTGGGACATTTCTGAATACTCAAGGATTCCAGAGAATCTGGAGATATAATATTTTTAGAAACATCATTCAAAAGGTCCCATCCCATGTGTCAGCATCCCATTCCTTCCTAACCAGGGCCCTGATCTTAATATAGAAGACTTGTCTTGATTGAACTTTTAATTTTCTTTGAAGCCTGCTTTCAATAAAATCCTGGGTCTCATCCTCAGATTGCTCTACCTCTACCTGGAAAAGATGAAAGCTGCTTTATACACTGAATAAATCTTACTTTCAGGCATAGCTTTTAATTGTTGGTTAATTTAATTAGCCTTTTCATTATTTTTTCTAGGTGTCAAACAAAATAAGCAATAATCATTTGATTCCCTGGCCTTCCTTTATTCAATATTTCCCTCATAGTTCTCGAAGTTCTGATACATAGTACCAGTCACCACATTCCTTACCACCATGTCAACTCAGTAAACCACCAGGGGACACTCTAACAATTCTGTCACCTCATTCCAGAAACCTATCTATACTACGTACCACCAGTGATGGGGTGTTCATTGCCAACTGGCCAGCAGGTGATCCATCTCCAAATTTCATTAGAATGTTTGCTTTCCTGTACCAACTCTTGTAGTTTGGCTTCCTGGAGAACAGACTAGGAAACAGAGTTCATCACGGAGAACGTTTATTAAAGAATACTCTTGGGATCAATGCCTGTGGAAGGGAAAAGAAGAAAGCAGGATTGGACAGAGGGATAAGATAAGCTATCTCAATTGTGAACAAGAAGACCATGTCCATTAGTCATTGGATGTGAAAAACACCCATTGAGGGGTACAACCTTGGACGAGGTACCTGTCTTCCGAGGCACTTCCCAAACAGGGCTGACAGATGAGGGCTGTCTATTGGCAGCACTCCTAGCAACTGAGTAACATATTCTATATTCCTGAAGGGATACCAGGGGAGAAGATGGCAGAGTCTATTACAGAATGATATCATTACTTTACAATAGAAAGTTACTAGCCATCAAATGCTAGAATTGAGAATAGTTTAATTTTTACATTACAGTATTTATGTATTTAGCCATTTATTGCTTTACTTAAAATTTGAAGTGAAACCTTACAAATATTAAAACATGAATATGTGAGTCTCCACTTCGGCTTTTGTTGTAGGCCCCTCCAGTACTATTTACAGGCCTGCTGATTCTGAAAATAACTGTCTTTATGTCCACTTTCTGTCTTTCTGTTCTTCTGTCTGTCCATCTTTCTACCTTTCTGTCCATATATTCATTTGTCTGTCCAGCTTTCTGTCAATTTTTAGGTCTCTTTTTTTCAGTCTTTCTTTCTGTTTCTATCCATATGTTGACCCATTTCTTGGTCTGTCTGCCCTTTTTTCCATTGGGCCATTGGCCCATAATTTGGGCCAATTACCTAAAAATTCCTGATTTATTTTGTAAATATCGAGAGTATACCTGAGTTTTTTGTTTGTTTGTTTGTTTGTTTGTTTTTGATACCGGGGATCGAACTCGGGTCCTTGCGCTTGCAAGGCAGGCCACTGAACCGCTGAGCTAAATCCCCAGCCCCAAGAGTATACATGAGTTTTTAAATGGCCATCAGTCTAACACCTATAAAAACTATTAACTTGCACAGAGTATACAGATTATTTAAACGCATATCTTTTCAAAAAGTGCTTTATATACTTTTATGGCCTATTTTTCCAATTTGAAATTATATCCTGAATTTTTTCATATAAATTAATACAGATGTCCATCAAATTTTTCAATGTTAGACTGGCAGAATGGGTCAAAAAGCAAGATCCAACACTATGCTGCATACAAGAAACACATTTAAATATAAGACTTCTATCAGAAGTGTTTTTGAAAATATGGTAGTTTATCTTTTCACTCATTTAATAGTATCTCACAGATGAAAGGTTTTTAATTTTAATTAAGTCAATTTACCAATTTAAAAAAACATTTGGTGGCCAAGGATTTAGCTCAGTGTTTCTGCCGCCTGCCTCGCAAGTACAAGGACCAGAGTTAGATCCCTGGTACCAAAAAAAATTTCAATGTTACTTTGATCATTTATACTTTTTCACCTTTCATAATAATTGGAAAATAGACAGCTTTGTACAAGTCAATTATTTGCCTAGTTACTATGCGTAAACATCTACAAATGCAATTACTAGGTCAGAGGGCATGCACATGTTAAAGGTTTCTGAAGCACCTATCTAACGAACCTCACACTTTGTATCTTCTTCATCTCACGGTTTGAGAGTTCCCCTCCTCCCATACCCTCACCAACACTATGGGGTGGGAGACAAGTGGGTCTTCTCCTCCATGGGTCCTAACAGCACTCTCTATGGTTCCATGAAGGCTCCCTCCAAACAACCTTATAAAAGAAATCTGAAACAGGCACTAGAAATCAAGCTTTCCTCCACTACAGTTTATTATTTCAAAACATATCTCTTATTCATTACCAACACTGTCATTGACCAAGAAACAGAACGTGTTGCTGTCACGTGCCTCCAGAACCCTAAAATAAAATTAACTCTTTCTTTATGTCTTCAGGGTAGGCTGCAGCAGAAGAGATCTCTGGCTTCCTTCCCGCCCCTACCATTCCCAGCCACCAGTGAAATTTCATGCTTTTCTCATCACCCGCCAGATCTATGGCAGTTAACTTCCTAACTAGATTTCTGATCTGTAGTCCCCATTTCTGTCCCCACCCCAACTCAGTCCTATCCTACACACAAAGCAGCTAGACTGTCTTCCTTTCATCCTGTCATTCCTCTGGTTACGAAAGGCCTCGTTGTCTCCCAGGGGCAGAGTAGGGTAATATCCAGACACCCCAGTTCAGCAACTGGATGAGCTCCAAAAAAGAGAGAGTAAGACTCCCCTCAACCACTGACTCTACCCGCATCCCCCTGCTCTCCTCTCCACATGCTCTACTCCAGGCAGATCAGTGTCTTCTCTGGAAAAAGTCCCATCCACCTCCACGTCTTTCTTCCACCGTTCTTCTTTGCGTGCCCTTTTGCATCTTGTCCTTCAAGCTCTTCTCTGTAAAACTCCCTGAACACCTTTGTGTGCAGCAGTTTTTGGTGCCTCGAAGAACCTTTGGAAACCATCTGTCCATGACTGGAAGCCTCTGATTTTGTACTTTTTGTTTCATATATCTTGACTTTCCAAACAGATTTTAAATTCAAAGACAAGGACAATGTCTTTTTATTTTTGCTTAAAACACACAACTTTATTGATGACATAAATATAAAATCTCAAATATATAAACATAAGTCCACACAAAGGACCAATGATTACCTTACTTATGAAGAATCAGGTCAGTTTTTGCTCATGAAGCATACTAAAAATATCTCAATCCAGACAAGATAAAAATTGACATGTATTTTTCAGTACAAGTTTGAATTCTTTTGGTGTTCATAAAATGGTTCATGTATGGACCATAATAGGTAACATCAGTTTTGGTATTATAATGCAGCTTAAAATGTGCGCTACTTTCAGACTGCAAAACCAAAATATTACTCACATTTGTTTGGGAATATATATTTAATTAGAGTTTATTTATTAATATCTCAACCCTTTCTTTTACCTCTGGATCATTGCATTCTGCTGCTAAGGCTCGAAGTTTCTTGGCACAGGCTTTAGGTCTTTGGAATAGGAAATAAAGAGAATTTTTACTGAATTTGTCCTGGGTAAATGCTTTTGCTCTTCTTTTAAAATGGTAATTTATATTCTCAAATAGTGAGAGAGCATTAAGAATATTCTCTTTTGTCTCCTTCTTGCTAAAAATGTTAATCAGAGATGTTGGTGCATTGGCAATGAGCAAGTCTTTTGTCATAGATGGATTTTTAGAGAAGTTCACAAGCATTCCCAAAACGTGGTCTTTAGTTTCTCCACTTCCCACAGTTAACAAACGAAGAAATTCTGAAATATAATTTGTAACCATATGCTGATATTCACTAGTTATAGTCAGGTGTCTTATCAATCTTAGTCCAGCCAGCTGCACATTTGAGTTCAAGGGATAGGTGACAGTATCTTCACATACTTGGTTTAAATATGTCTTAACCTGTCTGTGGTTTTCAGCAGCTACTGAGATGTTATTCAGTGCATTTAAGGCCTTCTGCCTAACACTTGGATAGGGATTATTCAGCAAGCTTTCAATAACTGAGATTCCGCCTACATTACGAACAATTTCATGGGAATAAGGATAATCAATACTGTTATACAGAGCATTGTTAGCTATTTCATGAACAGAAGGATCTTCCGTCATCTCGATCATGCAAATGAGTTTTTCAAAATCTTGTGGATCCAAATTAGCTTCACGTTTACAACGGCAGGGCCAGGGACGAACCTTCTCCCCAGCCCTGATCTGCTGTCTGAACTCATCTTCAGCTGGGAAACTGGACTCGTTTTGGTGTTGAAATTTCATTTCTGACCAGATCACGGCTCCGTCCCATGAGCCCATTCCTGCCCCAGGGACCATGGATGGATATGTCCCTCTTGACTCTGCTGACTTTTTAGCTTTAGCCTTGGGTGTAGATTTGTCCTCACTTCTGCTTTCATTACCAGTACAGAACCAAGACCTTATATCAACTCCATCAGCAGCCTCAAAATTATCCTTGATGCTTGTGTTTTCCCCAATCTTAGACTTAAAGTTGACATCTTTTTCACTCTGGGATCTGAACTCATTACTGTTATCACTCTCAGCCCAAAACAAGGACCTTAAACTGATCTCCTCAATATCAGGGCTGGATGCTTCGCTTAGCTCATCCTCATCTACATCCCTAGCGAAAGCCCAAGCCCAAGACCGTATGCCAGCCTCTTTCTTAACCCCAAGCCCAGACCCCTTAGTGGTTGCAGGCCTATCCCAGGGCCAAGATCCTATCCTGGCTGCAGTGCCAATATCAGCTCCAGCCTCAGCTCCAGCCTCAGCCCCAGTCTCAGCTCCAGACTCAACCCCAGCCTCAGTCCCAGTCTCAGCTCCAGACTCAGCCTCAGCCCCAGCTTCACCTCTAGCCTCTGCCTCTTCCTCAGTGTCAGCTTCAGTCTCAGCCTCAGCTCCAGCTTCAGCCTCAACTGCAGCTCCAGTATCAGATCCAGACTCAGCCCTCACACAGGAACCCATACAAGCTGCCTCTTCAGATCTGTTCCAGGATCCGATACTAGCCTTATTCTCATCTCCAAACTCAGAACTAATGATGGTCTTTTCCTTAGGCCCTGATGTGGATTCTACACTGGCCTCATCCTTGCCATCAGGCCTGGACACAGTATCAACCTCTTCCCTTGTACAGCCCCAAGACCCTATAAAGGCCTCACTACCAGGTGCAAACCAAAATCCTTCACTGGTTTCCTCCTCAGCACTGACCAGAAATCTTCCACTGGCCTGGTCCTCAGAACCCAGCCTAGACCCTCCACTGGCCTCATTCCCAGACCTAGACACAGCCCAGGATTCTCCACTGGTCTGCTCCCCAGCACCAGCCCAGGTACTTCCTCCATGGGCTTGATCCTCAAATCCAGATTTGAAGCAACCAACAGCCTTATCACCAGGCCCAACCCAGGACCCTCCACTGACCTGACTTGCAGTGCCAGCCCAAGATGCACCACTGGACTGGTCTGTGGGATCTGGTCTAGATGCTCCAATAACATGGACTCCAGCCCCAGTCCAGGAACCTCCTCCACTGGACTGATCCTCAGACCCTGGTGTGGACACTCCACCAGGCTGGTTCCCAGCACCAGCCCAGAACCCTGCTCCAATGGCCTGATTCCCAAATCCAGGTTTCAAACAGCCACCAGCCTGATCCGCAGCCACAGCCCAGGACACTCCACTGATCTGACTCCCAGGGCCAGCCCAGGATCCACAAAGAGCCTGGTTCGTGAGCACTGGCCTGGCACTTCCAAAATGCTGACCTCCAATCCCACCCCAAGATTCGCCCCCACTAGTCTGACTACCAGTGTAAGTACAGAACCATCCACTGGCTTGGTTCACAGTTCCAGGCCAGGAACCTGCATTAGTCTGATCCCTGGGGCTCAGCCCAGATTCTCTACAAGACTGGTCCTCAGCATTAGTCCAGCATCTTCCTCTACTGGCCTGATCTTCAAATACAGGCTTTGCCTCACCACCAGCCAGGTCTCCAGGCCCAGCCTGAGATTCTCCATTGGCCTGGTCCACAACCCCAACCAAGAACCTTCCACTAATTTGATCTCCAGAATCTGCCCATGATCCTCCACTGGACTGATCCTCAGGCCCTGACTTGGACACTCCACCAGTCTGGCCAATAGTCCCAGTCTCAGTCCAGGACCCTCCTCTGGCCAAGTTCCTAGTGCCAGCCCAGGATGCACCACTGGAATGGTCTTCAGACCCTGGTGTAGACCCACCACCAGCCTGTTCCCCAGTGCCAACCCAAGATGCACCATTAGACTGATCTATAGGCCCAAGCCTTGACCCTCCACTGGCTTGGTCTGCTGTGTCAGCCCAAGACCTTTCACTAGACTGATTCTCAGATCCTACACTGGGCCTTTGCTCACTGGCCTGATCCTCAAATCTAGGTTTGGACTCACTGCCAGACTGATCAACAGTCCCAATCCAGGATCCTGCATTGGCCTGGTCCACAGCACCAGTCCAGTATCCAATACTAACTATATTTCCAGCCCCAGCCCAAGACACCCCACTAGCCTGATTTTCAGCCACAGTCCAGGAACCTCCACCAGTCTGGTCCACAACCCAGGATAGCCCAGTGGCCTGGACCGCAGGCCAAGAAACCTCACTAACCTGACCTACAGCCCAGGGCCCTCCAATGGCCTGGTTCCCAGAGACAACCCAAGAGGCTCCACTAACCTGGTTCTCGGCCCCAGTCCAGGATCCTCCAATGGCCTTGTTCTCAGCCTGCACCCAAGAACCCCCAACTTTGTCCCCAGCCCAGGATGCCTCATTAACCTGACTTGCAGCCCAGAGCCCTCCACTGGCCTGGTCCCCAGGTCCTACCCAGGACCCAAGAGCAGCCTGATTCTCAGCCGTAGCCCCAGCCCAGGACTTAACAGTGGTCTCATCACAAGCCACAGCCCACGAACTAACAATACCAGCCTTGTCACCAGTTCCACTCCAAGATCCAATATTGGTTTCATTTTCATCAGCCCAGGACACACTGTTCTCCCAGTCTCCATCCATAGCCTGCAACCTAAATTTGATCCATCGCTCAGCAGCAATCCAATCCTCAACACCAATCCCATTCCAGTAATAACCATGAACGTTAGACTGAGTTTTTCTGCAGGCTTGAGCATCTGGTTCACCCTCACCCTGTGCAGTGGGCATGGCTTCAGCCTCAGGCTTTGCATAGATCATATCTTCTGCTGTAGCTTCTGCCTCAGACCTGGACATACCCTTGTCCATTATCCCAAGCAAAATCTCATCCTGGGAACTGGCCACCATCTGCTGTTGAGCAGAGACTTTTGTACCTTTCTGGTGCCCTGCTTTAGGCATAGCACTGGAATTGCCTCTGCCCTTATTCCTGGCATTAAGCAAGGCCTCATTCTGAGAAATGGTCAGAGCCTGGGGCTGAGAAGAGCTCATTATACCTCCCTCAGCCTCTGCCTTAGGCACAGCACTGGGACTGCTCCTGACCTTATTCCTGGCACCAAGCAAGGTCTCACCTTGGGAACTAACCACGGTCCAGGACTGGGAAGAGCCCACTGTACCTGCTCCAATCTCTGCTTTAGGCACATTATAATTAACCCTGACTTTACTCCTGGCACCAAGCATGGTCTCATCCTGGGAACTGGCCACAGTCTGGGACTGGGGAGAGTCTTTTATACCTGCCCCAGCCTCTGGCTTATACATAGCAATGGTGTTGCCCCTGATCTTAGTCCTGGTACCAGTGATGGTTTCACCCTGGAAATTCGCCAAAGCCTGGGGAAAGGCAGAACCTGTTATAACCACTCCAGTCTCTGTCTTAGGAACAGCACTGAGATTACCTTTAACCTTATTCTTGGCACCAGGCAAGGCCTCACCCTTGTAACTATTTACAGTCTGAGGCTGGGCAGAGCCTGTTGTAGCTGCCCCAGTCTCTGCTTTAGGTACAACACTGCGATTGCCCCTGGACTTATTCTTGGCAGCAATCAAGGTCTCACTCTGGGAACTGACTACAACCTGGGGCTGGGCAGAGTCTGCTGTAGCTGTCCTTGCCTCTGTCTTAGACACAGCACTGGGATAGGCCTTGAATTTATTCTTAGTACCCGGCAAAGCATCACCTTGGGAAATGACCACAGTCTGAAGCTGACCACAGTTTCTGTGGTCTGCCTTAGGCCCTGCTTTAGAAATGGCATTAGAATCACCCCTACCATCAACCCTGGAATCAGGCAAGGCTACGGCTTGGGTCTTGGTCCCAGCTTGAGATTGTGAATATATTTTCATGTCTGGACCAACTCCTGCCTTACACTTGGCTTTGGCTTTGCCCCTAGCTTTACCTTTAGTATTAGGTAAGGCTTCACCCTGGCCCGGGGCCATAGCCTGAGCTCCCTCCTTAGTCACAGCATTAACAGTGCTCTTAGCCTTGATCCTACAATCAGGCAAGGCATCACCCTGAACATTGACCACAGGCTGAGCCTGGGTATAGGACAATATGTCTATCCCAGCTCCTGCCTTAGCCATGACGCTGAGATTGCTTCTGGTCTTATGGCTATTATCGGGCAAGGCTTCAGCTTGCAAATTGGTCCTCATGTTTGCCATGGCACTTGCTTTAACCATGGCATTTGGGTTTCCTCTACCCTTAACCCTGGCATCAGGCACAGACTCAGCCTGAGCACAAGCTACAGCTTGAATCTGAGCAGTAGCGCGTATGACATTTCCAGTAATTGCCTTAGGTATGACACTGATATCAACCCTGGCACCAGACATTGCCTCAGCCTGCTTCTTGGCCACAGTCGGAGGTTGTATTATACAAGCTCTCACATTTGTCCCCATCTCTGCCTTACACATGGCAGTGACATTACCCTCCATATCAACCCTTGTCCCAGGCATGGCCTCGGCCCGGCCCTTGACAACAATTTGAGGTTGAGGAGAGGCCCTTGTATCAACCTTAGACACTGCTTTACACATGGTTTTGATATTTCTCTTGTCCTCAGCACCAGGCATGTCATCATCTTGGATCTTGGCCATAGCCTGGGACCGTGCACAGGACTTTATGTCCATGCCTGCCACTGCCCTGGACATAGCATTAGGATTTTTCTTAGTATCAACTATAGTACCAAACCTACTGTCAGACTGAGTTGTAAGCACACTCACAGTCTCTTCCAGGGCTCTTGTTTTGCTTTCAACCACAATTCCAGTCTTGTTCATGGTCCCAATCTTGACCACTTCTTTGGTCACTGCCAAAACCTCACTCTGTGTTACCATTACTCTGTTGATCTCTGTCTCTTTTTCAGCCAATGTCTGGGTTTCGGCTTTGGTCTGGGTCATTGCTTCTTTTTTGGCCTCTGTCTTGGAGACCAGTGCCCAAGCTTTAGCCTTGGTCTGTGTCACTGCCTCTTTCTTGACTATTTCCCCAGCCTCAAAATCAGTTTGAGTCATTGCCTCTTTCATGGACACTTCCCTAGCTTTGACCTTCGCTTCAGTCAGAGTCATTGCATCTGTCATGACCAGTGTTCTAGCCGCTGATTTGACCCCTGATTGAATCTCTGTCTCTGCCCCAACCATTGCCTGAGAATTGGCTTTGGATCTCTCTATAGCAGTAACCTTGATCTCTCTTTCAGACCCAGACTCACTTCCTTCTCCAGTTTCTGATCCAGTCTTGTCCTTGGGTCTAGTCTCAAGCTCCACCCCAACCATGGCTTCACTCATGGCCAAAGTCTGGTTCTGTACCCCAACCACAGTCTCCATCTTGACTCTGGACCCATCTCTGGCAAGTCTGGTCACACTCTGAGATCTTCTTTTGGTTAATCTGTAAAGGTAGTAGCAAGTGCCAGCCCAGATCGCCAGTCCCGCAGTCACCCAGCCCACTTCCTGAACACGGCCCATGTAATCACCCTTGCTGAAGACACAAATAAAGTACAGGGGGGCTCACTTGGGCTGGGGAAAGAAGGTGATAGGCTTAGATGTAGATCTATGAGGGTGCTGATCTTCAGCCACTCAAAGGCCACTACAGCTGCCACTGGAAGTAAACCTAGAAGTGGAAAAGGGAAATGAACAAAATTTTGTCTTCTAAATCTACTCTACCATTCAGGTAGATAAACAAATAGGAAAAGGTAGAAAAGGCTCTTCATGGGAGAAGAGGATGATTAGTGCGCCCTCTAGCCTTTATTTCATCCTCTCCCCATCTTCCCCAATACTCCCAAATTTTCCCCAAGGTACTTCATATACCGAAAAAATAGTGCTGAGGATGGTGGGAGGGCTTGGCATTCAGTAGGAGAGATCAAGAAGCCCAGACTTTGATTTTTACTGGACTTGCTCTGATCATCATTATTCCTATAAGTCTCAATTCTCATACAAACCTGTAATGATCCAAGGAAGTTCTCTCCTCTGTTCCTCTCTTCTTTGGTAATACACCCTAAAGTAGATATATAAATTCATGTGAGCTTTGAACCTAGAGATGGACAAAGAGAGGGACAGGTTAGAATGGAGAGTTCATTCTTGATAGGATAGATACATTACTAGCAAATGCTCTTTACTCCTCCAGTTCAGCCCAGTCCCCCAGGTACTGTCACACTCTATTCCCTGCACCAAAAATAAGGTGAAGGTTTGAGATAAGTGACAGACATGATGGGAAAGACATCTGTAAAGAGTGAGGCTGAACATCCTCTAGACTGGTCACTGGCCCTTATTGGATACATGTTGCTCCACTAACCCACCCGAGAGGTTTACCCTGGAAGTCCTCACCGTCTTGCCAGTCTGTACTGATCAGAAACATTTTTCTCTTTCTTTCTTTGCTTCCAGTGATCTCAAGTTCTGCAGCAGACAAGCAGGCAAGTCTATGGACAAGAAGACAATTAGGAAGTTATAGAAACTGAGTCCTTGGTAAAATAGATAAGCACCCTATTACTTGCACCAGTTCTCGCCTTGCTAGAGTCCATCTCCAGTATACTAATGTGTATCATCCTATGATTCCTTCCTCAAGTCTTCTGTCATACCCTAGTCCACCTTTGTCCTAATATTCCTACTGTTTGGTGCACTGAAATCAATAGGGAATATGTCAGCATTGTTGAAAGCTGGAAGAGTGTAGAAGCAGCAGAATGCCCTCCACTGAGTCCTTCTCAAGTGTCAAAACACCTGCTTAGCCAACCCTCTCCTGTCATCCTCAGGTACTGCCTACCTTCACAACTTCCATAGTTCCAGGCCAGTCTCTCCCTCTTTCCCTTGTTTCCAGTGGTAAATAGGTCTACTGAAAGGCCACAAGAAGATCTAGGAACACAAAGAAAGGGGGAGGATGAATGTTGAGTAGTTGTCATATCCTGGTATCAAAGACATGGGTCCTCTCACCTCCCTTTCTGGATTTAGAGACCATTTTGAGAAGGAAGAATCTAGGGCTTCTCTAGGACCAAATGGACAGAGTAGAAAAAGAAGACAGGAAAAATAAAAGGGGAGGCAAATTATTTTAAAACCACCTGTGGAATCCTAAGAATGTTCCCCATTTCCTTCACCAAGACGGTTGGGTAAGTGGGAGTATCTGAAAAACTGAAGGGCCGCAGAAGGGCTGGAAGCCCCCAGATACCATGACTCTAGAATCATGGCTGACTGCCATCTGCTTTCCCTGAAATCCATTTGTAAGAATCTTTAGCAAAAGCGACAAGGTGTAGGAGAGAGCTTTTGCTTCTGCAAAGTCATCCTTCCACTCAAAGGCTATCTCAAAAAATGATAATATTCTTTGATACAATTTGTACTTTCTCAATATTATCTGAGTACAAATAAAATCACCTGTAGAAAATTTTGCTGTCTTTCTTGGTTTTCAAGATACCATTTAAGTTTAAAGTCTGAAGCTTGGTAAGAAATCATAGTTTAGGAAAAGTTCCTTAGTTAGCCCCACTCCATATCACAATCAGATATCACTTCCTGAATTCATACAGAACTTCAACGATTTAATACCCATGCTCACACTAACCTTCATAGGTCCTGTGCAGTTTTCTCTTCTCCTGACCTCATCTCAGTACTACACCAAACTATCATCTAAAAGACAGGAGAAAGTAAAGACACTGCTTAGACCAACACCCAGGCAACAGATCCCAATACTTGATTTAACGGATTCTCAAACCAACTGTCAAATCCCTCTCCCCTAGTTGTGAGACACCACCCCATCAATCCCGCTGTCCAGTCACTAAGGCCCACCATTTTCTCCGCAAACGCCACCGTGGCACGTCTTTTCCTCTCCCACGAGCCGGAAGCTAGTGGACATGTGCAGTCAGGGATTAGAGTTAGAGAGGACGGACACCTCAATCCGTTTCCCTCTTGATATAGTCTCCCCATCAGCGGCCCTGTCAAAGCCCCCCCCCCCCGGTTCCACTGCACAGATTTAGCTGAGCACTGGAGACTCAGAAGAACAAGAGGCCAAGGATCCTTGAACTTGAGCTAACACAGACGCTCCCCCCACGTCCCATCCCCATACTACGTCAAGGTCCGAAAGCAGCTGCGGCCAGGCCGCGTTGCGCGGGCCCTGGGGCCCTTACCTGCTCCGCTTTCCTAGGCCCGCTGCCAGCCCGCCCTACGCAGGGCTGCGTGGAGCTGGTAGCTAGAGGAGAGTGACGACTGCACCTAAAGCTGCGTCGCTCTGCAGCTCGGGGTCACGTGAGGCCTGTGCGTCATCGTTAGCCCTCTTCCCCCACAACCCCCCACCGACTCACAGGCTGTCAACAGGATACCCCCCCACTTCCGCACTCACAGGACCCCCTCCTTCTCCCGTCTGTACTCAGTGCCCCAGCGCTCACCACCCTGTCACTCATCTCAGTCCTCTCCAATCTAAGAGCCCACAAGTGGCATCACCGCCTTGAGGTTGGAGTTTACTGGTCTCTGGTTACCAGGGAGGTCTTGCATCCCCCACCCACTTCCAGGCCTTGGCTGTAGTCTTTCCTGCATCGTTGAGTAAAAGCAATGCTCCCCACTCACCCCCCATCCCCCGCCCCCGTACAATGTGCCCTCCCTTAGTAAGGAGCCATCACCAAATTGGCTGGGAAAGGAAAGGTCTGGAAGAAAAGCAGAGAAAGCAAGTAGAGCCTTAAACTTTCTTTTATAAATGTTCCCTTTTAAATGGTCTTCTCTTAACGTCACTTTTTTGTTGTTTTGTTTTGTTTTGGTAACGGGAAAAGGAAGTAAAGTCATTTTCATTTGACATAAAAAATATTTAGGTTGTAAAAATAACAGAAGACTTGTTTTCATTGTTTTGGGCCATCTAAAAATATGTTCTAGTTGCTATAAACTATTTCACAGCTTTGAAAACAGACTAGTGTAAGATATTTAGCTCAGTGGCAACAGTGCCTGTCTGGCAAGCACAAGGTCCTGAGTTCGATTTCCAGCACCAAACTGAATAAATAAAAATAAAAGGGGCTGGTGGTGTAGTTCAGTGTGAAGGAAGTGGGCTCAATACTCACTGCCAAAGAAAACAGAGTAGTAATCACTGGCATGGTAATACAAAATTTTACTAAATAAAACCAGCATATTTTTCAATGTGATTTATAAATTAATCCTCAGAAAGACACTCAGATTTCTAATCTTGGCAGTTTTACAAAAAAAATTTATAACCTTTTGAAGTCCTGGCTGAACTTACAGCCCCGTCAGGTGGCTTTGAACTTCAGTGATGACTTCGGAATGATTTAAAGAAGCCCCAACTCCAGATGCACCTAGTCATTGCCTTAAAAGCTACTTACTTCATAAATTAACCTGCTTTCTATCCGGGGGTCTTTATGTGGGTTTTACATAAGTGTGCAATCAAATCAATCTTACCACATTCACGCTCTCACGTGGATGAAAAGGCTTGGAGTACTACTCTCCTATCAAGAAAGATATATTTCAGTCATTTGTAGGAGATTGATGCACCTTGAGGCAATAATTGTAAGTGAAATAAATCACACATACACCCTTCAATATCAAGTGATTTCTCTTGATATTTCTCTTTAGGTGAGCAACCTAAAATATAAATAAAGAAAAAATAAAAGATAGATAATAAGAAACAGGAAGATAGATCTTTTGCAAAAGGGAACAAGACCAAGAGATGGAGGGAGGTAAGAGAGAAGACGGGATGGAGATGAAAAAATAATTGAGACGTGTTATGTACATGTACCAATTCTCCACAATGAATGTAATTATTATGTACTGCAAGCATGTATTGAAAATAATTTCTAAAAGGAAAGGAGGTTTCACAGGTGGAATCTATATTACATCATGGCTCTGATAAGATCTCTCTGGTATTTGCCATTCATTCATGTGCTATTTGTTACCATCGAGATCAAATTTCTCAGGGGTAATAGTGGCGAGGGTCTGTGGATAAATATGAATTGCTGCAACACCCCTGATACCCATGCCATTTCCCCCTCACAAGTGGAACAAGAAACAAACAATCACCAGGAGAAAGGTCTTTTCACTCCCTGCCTTCCATTAGAGCTTCACTGCACCACCCTCACAAGTTCTTCAGAATAATCCTAGAACCCAGATCATTTTGCAGAAGTTAGTGCCTAGACGTCCATCTGTCTCCACTGGGGAGTCACATTCTAAGCACAGACCATCCATGCAGCCTCTTTTTAAAGAATGTTTGAAATATAACAGTGAAAGCAGGCTGGGGGTGCTCCCTACCAGGATCCCCTTTGGAGGAAGCCCTTTCTGGAAGGGAGCCAGAGAGCCTTTAATGCCATACAACCTTGCTAATGAATTTAGATTTACTTGTTCTACCACAGGAAAAGATAGATAGTTTGATAAATTACATAAAATTTTAAAACTTTGGCAATGTTTTTTTTGGGGGGATACTGGGGATCAAACTCGGGTCCTTGTGCTTGCGAGGCAAACAGTGGAACCACTGAGCTCAATCCCCAGCCCTTGGCAATATTTAAAACAAGAAAGCATAAGCATTGGATGTCAAAGGGCTTATTTGTAATTTAAAAGCCGTTTAAAAATCATTGGTAAACTGGTAACCCAGTAGAAAAGTGTGTCAATGACATGAACTGATTTCACAGAGAATGCAAATGACAAATGAATATATGAAAAGATGTTCAACTTCTAAGAAATGCAAATTAAAACAATTATGCCTTACTATTTTTCAGCTATGAGTTTATCAAAATTTAGGAATTTAATAATATTGTTGATTGGCTTGTGGGGAAATGGACAACCCACACTATGGAGGCAGACATTCTGATTCCTTATTAAAATTTATGAATGGAGGGGCTGGAAATTTAGCTCAATGGTTCCGCTGCCTGCCTCACAAACACAAGGTCCCAAGTTCAATGCCTGGTACCAAAAAATAAATAAATACAATTAAATTAAATTAAAAATTTATGACTGGAATCATACTTAGTATATTTTTTGAAACTTGTGTCTACCCACTTAAAATCATCCCACAGTGAACTCAATATGCTTATGCATTTAAATTATGGCATGATATTCCATAGTTCAGTTATGCTATCATTAATTTAAACACCTACCCCCATTGGTGAACATAAAATTTTTCTACATTCAAAGCCAATAAGAACAAGGCTATAATGAATGACTTGGTGTACATATAGCTTTGTCCACAAGTGGAAGGATTTTTGTGGGACATCCTACTATAAATAGACTTGTTTGGTTAAAAGATGAGATTTCACTCATTTGAAACTGTCAAAAGAAAGATACAAACCAAGTGTTGTGGTACACACCTATAATCCCAGCACTAGGGAGCTGAGGCAGGAGGATTGCCATGAGTTTGATGCTGGCCCGGGCTACAAAGTGAATTCAAAGCCAGCCTGGACTATGTAGAGACAAGACT